TTGGTTGTTGGTTGTTGTGGTTGCGGTTGTTGGTTGTTGGTTGTTGGCTGTTGGCTGTTGGTTGTTGTTGTGGTTGTTGGTTGTTGGTTGTTGTGGTTGCGGTTGTTGGTTGTTGGTTGTTGTTGTTGTTGTGGTTGTTGGTTGTTGGTTTTTGGTTGATGGTTGTTGGTTGTTGTTGTTATTGTTGTGGTTGTTGGTTGTTGGTGGTGGTGGTGGTGGTGGTGGTTGTTGTTGTTGTTGTTGGTGTTCTGGTTGTGGTTGTTGGTCATTGGCTGTTGGTTGTTGTTGTTGTTGTTGTTGTGGTTGTTGGTTTTTGGTTGTTGGTTGTTGTTGCGTTGGTTGTTGGTTGTTGTTGCTCTGGTTGTGGTTGTTGGTTGTTGGTTGCTGTGGTTGTGGTTGTTGGTTGTTGGTTGTTGTTGTTGTCGTCTGGTTGTTCTGGCTGTCTTTGTTGGTGGTGTTGTTGTTGGCGCTGCCAGCAACAGAAAAAGAATGCAAGGCCACTAAGGCAGCAAATCTCGCACCTTGAGGTGATCTGAAGCCACCTTGTAGGTAGTTCCGTAAAAACAAACCTTTGAACATCACGCTTTGCCAACACATTGAGAAACACTGTGCTGTTTGCGTTTTTGCGCGTGCTATGTTGCGCAATGGTCTCCATGTGGTCGGCGGCACGGGTAGCCGCCTTCGGCGGCGGGGTCCTGCAGACTGACCAAGCCCCTGCTGGGTTCATTGAAAAATTGTCCAGGTTTAGATTTTAGATCTGCAGGGTTTAGATCAGCAGGGTCCTTTTAATTGTTAAGTATATAAGTAAATTCATTGTTTGGTTTTGTATTTGTATCACTTGTGAAGCTTCTATTATTTTTGTTTTCATTTTAATACTTTTAAATATGCTTTGGAATCATTTTATATAGTATTTAATTTATTGTTTAGAAATTAAAAATCATTTTGCCCCTGCCGTCGAAGTCATGGCGAAGTCATGGTGATTTACGATGTTTTGTGGCCTTCCGACTTTTCATTTGTTGTTTCCCCCCGGGATGCCAAAGAGGCTGGTTTAGAGGATCTGGCGGTGCGAGTTCTGCCGCCTGGGTTGACACACATTATTTACGTTTCGCTGCTCTTGTTTCCTTCCCATTTTACTCTTGCCGCATGCCCTGCAGCGACAACCTGTCCAACATAGGCCACCATCGCAGCAACACAACCACCATCGCGAACACCACCACAGCCGCCGCAACCACAACCACAACAACGACAGCCACCCCGCCACCTACGACCACCCACCATGATTACCACAAACCGCGCAACCACCATCACAACCATCGCCCAATCCCTCAAATGCTATATATATATTTTAAAGTCTCTGTGCACTTCCCCGACCGGCCTCTCCTTGATCCTGAACACCATCTGAGTACCATACCCTGGACAAAGCTCTGCAATACGTCCACCAACTACTCTAGCAATAGCAAGGAATCTGGAGTTTCACCTCACAATCTGCCTCAACACATTTATGTTTACAGATCGAGTTTACAGTATCCGAGGCATCGGCAGCGTTTTCCGGTGTCTCCCCCTCCAGTTTTCTCAGCCGGAGCCGCTGTGTTGTAGCTCACCACGTCGGGTCCCAGCAGCTGCAGACTTGACACCCAATGAGTCGACGGCAGGCGGCCCTCCAAGGTGTTCAAAGTGATGCGGTTGATGCCGGTGGAAGAACGCCGGAGCACTTGGAACCTGAGAAAAAATTCCAGAGCATAAGCAAATCCGCCCACACCGAAGGTGTTGAGGCGTTGTGGAGGCTCGCATCAACAGCAGTTGCCAGAAATCTGCTAGATTAAGTCCCAAGCTTCATCCTAGAAGCGTGTGTTTTGCAGTGTTTTAAAAATGGATACGTTTTTGGATGTTTTTGGAATACGCGTTGGCGATGCCGGCTATGCCGGCCGGGGGGAATGGCATTATCGACGCAGCGGACGCATGTTCAGCCCGGGGGACACTGCATTATTGACATTGTGGGTATGTTCGTCCGTGTCCTGCGGGACCGAGACACGGACTGACGGACCGAGATAGACAGAGCGCGACAATTGTCATGGTGGGTGTGCCCCGCTCGACTGAGACAGACAGACTGACAGACTGAGACAAACAGACCGAGACAAACGCACCGAGACAGAACCCTCTGTGAAAAGGCTCAAGATTTAGATAGGGCTATAGCGAAACGCTTCTTCACGCTTGATCCCGGTTAACATTTCCTTCCGGCTCCGAGAGCACAAGTTGCTAGTTCCCGGCTCCACGAGCGCAGGTTGCTGCCGAGCCGGTAGGGTGCTAATGATTCACTTTTCCCATTTATGTCTGGATGTGTGTTTGCATGTATGTATGTCTGTATGCTTGGCTGGATGTCTATCTCTGTATGTGTGTCTGTTTTCCCTTTGATCTCTGCGGGCGGCTTCGACCGCGAAGCGGTGCGAGTATACCAGCAATATACATACCGGCCTGGAACTTCCTCAGAGTGCCTTTTTTTCGATCTGCGGTGTGAAAAACATCTTTTGGAGTCACAGCCTTATATTTGAGTCTGCGGATGTTTCTCTAGTTTTCTGACTTTTTCTGACAGGGGCGTTTATGCACAAGCTAAGGGCGTTTATTGGTGAGCCAAAGGCGTTTCTTCCCGAACATGTTTTATTAAGCGGATGTTTATTTCGGTTGCGGATGTTTATGTGGTTCACAGACCTAAATAAAGGTATGTTGAACCACCGACCAAAACAGCAACCACGAGGTTGCAGGTGTATATATATATATATGTATGTATACACCATACATGTATGATGATGTCAAGTTGTATAATGTGTTGCCTTGTTTGCATCTACAGTAATTATGGGTGTGAGTTCCCGATGTGACCAAAGGGTCAAGTGGAAGCTTTATCCACACACCAAGCTGCCACGCAAAGTATCCCCAGGAAAGTCAGTTGGGTTGCCAGGCTTTCTGCGGAGAAAGTTCTGAGCGCTTACGTTTGGGCAGGCACCTTGCAGAAAAATCTTGGGGCCCACACGACACTTTGACAAAATCCATCCCAAATCCCCGCAAAGAACCCTTGAAAACTAGCAAGTTGGGAAGTCCACACCCTTCTGCCTCTGCTTTTGTGTGATGTTGTCGACTGTGCGGTCCAGGAGCTGTTCAACTGCTTGCAGCCAGGGGAGACCTTGGATTCGGGAGACACTGGTGTTGAATGCACCGAGTTAGACCCAACTATCCAATAAAGCCGTTATCAGTGATGCTATGTGGATCTTTTGTGTTTGTTGTATTGTTCTTTCGCAGTTGCACAATCACCCAATCGATCCATTGATCCAGGTCCATTAACTAAGCATTAATCCATCAACTGCCAAGCGGCTGCTCAACGCTGCATTGTGGTGAAAGATGTTGACTTCGACAGTGCCCTCGCCCAAGACGCGCAAAACACTGCCTGGATCGATGCGCAAATCGATGAGCCCGGCCCTGGGCACTGAGGCTTTGACAACCAACTGAATCCACGCATCTGCGTGGGACTCGCACAGGACAGGAATGTTCCCTTCTTTGTCAGGTCTGAGTCATAGAGTCCTCAGAGTCTGCGTCCACATGTATGGCATATTGACCTTTAGGCTGTCAGCTGGGATGTCCAAGGCGCCGGTGAGGTGACGTGAATTCCAATTGAATCTTGAAAGAACAAAACCCTACAGGTCGAGAATCTCATTTTACTAGGTCCTACAGAAGCATTCTGATCATTCTTCGCTGGGTCGTTGGTGTTGTAGCAAGAACACATCATGAACCACAATGACCTCTGCACATCCCTGCCCCCTAGCACTCGATGGTGTTCAAGCTCTGGTGACTCTGGTGCAGCATCTTCCGGCCTGTATCCACGGATCGACGAGCCAAACCGGCGATCACCGCCGTCACCAGCTTCGGACGCCGCCGCAGCACATCCAGCCTTAACGGTTCAGGCGTGTTCCCGGTTCCAAAAGCAATACGCGGAGCATCCAAAAGCAAAGCGGGGGGTCTCCGACCGACCTCAGTGGCTCCGAAGAGGTCCCATTGATTCAACCGGCGGACCCGCGGGACCCGCCGCGGGTGTCGGACCTGGACCGCTTTCACCGAGCTGCTCCGGTGGAGCCAAGTGAATCTCGTCCACGATGACCTATCTTGAGAACTGGAGAAGGAACTGCTTGAAGCCACATGACCACCAACCGAGTGGAAGACCGTTTTGGAACACAAAAGCACCATTTGTGTCGGGCTCTTGTGATAATGAAACGAAATCGACATGCTGTTAAATAATGCAACATGCAAACCACTCTCTCACATGGCCCACACCACTTGCCGAGTGAAAAACCTCACATGCGCAACCTGGAAGGCGCGGAAAGACGACATTAACAAAAAACTTGGCCAAACTAGAAACAATTAAACAATGTTAAGACAAGAAGAAAAGAAGCTTCGAACGGTAGACATTGTATGGCTTCAAATGTATGCTTGTTCAATCTTGTTCGCCCGGTTTTGCTTTTGGAGCACCTTGGATGGAAGATCCATTGGACCATCGACGGCGGGCGACCGCAAAGCATCTCGGCGGGCCCGGGCGCTGCGGCATCTGAGCCATGATTGCGGACCGCATCGACGGTAGCGACTGAGTCTTGATGACTTGAGTGAGTCTCTATAGTGTCAAATGGAACTATCTCAAGTCAGTCCGTGGTTCCAAACGAAAAAACTAAAAATTCTTTAAGACACGTCCAAGTTTCTTTTACCGGTGGCCGGGAGGCATTAAGGGTGAAAACATGAACCAAAGGTGGATGACTGATGGATGAGAAATCGTCCATCATCCATGCCTGTCCAGGTCCTGACAGTTGATGCTGCAGCGACAAGTGATATGTAAACACCCAAGGCATGCCGACCGATAACACCCGGATCCGATCGACACCGAGCGCGACAACCACGCCGGAAGACTTGTCGCTGACCCAACCTGACCATAAAGCTGGTGCTCGGACGAGTGGTCGAAAATGCAGCTGCCTCCACATGGTTGGGCAAATAGTCTTTGCACAATTGGGTTGTGTTCTTTGATTAAACTCTCTCACCAATGTTCCAAAAGGCTTAAGCAGCGGGTAGGCCCATCTAACCGGCTGTGAATCCTCTGGGCGGGAAAGTTTTTTTTACAAAATCATACTTTCCGTCGTGCAGAATCCACAGAATATCGTCCCTATGTAGACGTTATATGGTTGATTCATTTGCTGCTGTGGAGACTTGCACTTTACTGTCACAAAACAAACGCCACCCCAACAAACCTGACATTTTTCCCTTCACCACAACATTTACATGTCTACCCCATATACGTCCAAATACCTTTGCCCTATGTGAAAGAAGCCTTTTGTCCAATATTCAATTGTTAACACTTTTGGTCCCTTGGTTGCTGTGAAGTGCGCAGCACTGGCATGGCACTTCCAAGCAAACATTGCAAAGAACGTTGTCTTCCGAGATCGTATCTGCTATGATGATCTATTTTGACATCCTTTTGACGGTTGTTTGGCTGAGTGCCAATTGGCGGGCTACTCTAGCCCCAGTCTGGAGGATAAAGAAGGCTTCAGGTACACTAGCGTGATGGTTAGATATGGTTAGGTTCCTCATGACTTCTTGTCACGGTTTAAATCGTTTCTTGACGTCCCCGGGCTCCTGTTCTCCCATCGTCCTCCCTTGCCGTTGCAAGAAACCCTTTCCATACCCTTTAAGTCTCTGTTCTTTGACGGGCCCTGCAGTGCGGGGTGAGTGGGACTCAGTTGCAGCATCATGCAAGTCTTTAGCCGTTTCACAAGAGCCACTAAGCAAAGGACAATTGAGTGACTACTAGTCAGTAGTCTACTGTAGGGTAAACCCACCATGATGCCACGACTGTCAACTAGCTATTTTGCGCATTGCTCAAGAAGGAAGACTATAATAGCAGTTATACATCCTTACAAAGGTCAAAAACAGCTCCAAGGTGGACCAATGACAAGGGAATGAAGGCAGAACATATGTGCCCATTGTAGTCCACTGCACATAGACCCGCCATGCATCCAGGTCCAAAAAATCAGACTTGGCACACCAACAAACACGAACAAACAGAATTTGATGAATTTTCAGAGAGCGCGCAAGTGACGTACATTTTGAATTTTGGTTTTGCAGCCACTTGCTCAGGCAGCCACTTGGCAGCCACTTGCCACTCAAGCAAGTAAACTTCAACACGTGCACTTTGAGCTCTTTATGTAAAACTGCAAGGTTTCTTCGTCGTTAGCTCTGCAGAAGTTTGGAATTTATTCTCAGACAAGTCTTGGATTATTTCATGATTTCTCCGCGCACAGCTCTGGAGAAAACCGGAATTTATTCGCAGAACAGCCTTGAAGAAATCGTGGTTTTCTCCAGAGCTGCGTGCGGAGAAATCATTATATTCTCCGGACAGAAGTAGCAGTCACTTGCAGCCACTTGGAAGCCACTTGCAGCCACTTGCTTGGGCAGCCACTTGCAGCCACTTGCAAGTGGCTGCAAGTGACTGCAAAATGGAAACTCAAAATGCGCACCTCCTGCGAGCTCAATGTGAATTTTGCAGATTGACATTGTAAACTCATGAGAGCTTGAAATGGGAGCCCTACGCCAACTTGCCACTACAGGATCGCTCACATAGTCGACACACCCCGTCTCTCCCCCAGGGAAGGCCGGTTTCATTTAGCCTGTGCGAAGGGAGGAGAGAGGCTTCTTGAAGGCAATCGCCTGAAAGTCCAGGAGCCAAGAATGCCGCCGGTCGCTCAGTAGATCCACCATTCACCGGTCAGTACGGAAGCGGATGGCATGGTTTCGTTTTGGGTGCGATCCATTCTATCGCACAAGGCCAGGAGCCCCTAGTAGCGTCCTTGCTCCTAGTAGTAAGGCCAGGAGCCCCTAGTAGGGTCCTGGCTCCTAGTAGCAAGGCCAGGAGCCCCTAGTAGCGTCCTTGCTCCTACTGGTGCCATCTACTCCGGTCAGCCGGAAGCGTTACATCGGGAGCTGCTCTGCCCTGGGGTTGGAAGACCACACGAGCATGCGGGACTGATGCTCCAACAGTGGCAAACAAATCAAAAAACAAGAAGTCCGTCTAGCTTCATTGGTTGGAACTCGGCAAACACTAATGTGCTGATGGGCATTGTTGAACCATAGCATCCATCTGCATCCATCAATGATAGCTAACTGTCTAACTGTAGTGATTTGGTTGAAACTGCACTCATGCATTGCAGGATGGCTCCATTGCAAGTCATGTTCTTGTCTAACATAGCCTAACATGACCCATACATTCATATTTTTTCGGGTTCTGAGGATAACTTACCTCAAGTCAACACCTGTCAACACCCACTTCGGTGGCCTCCTCCGCAAACCTAACCTCTCACATTTTTGGGCTTCCGAACGACGGCCACCGCGGGGGGCGACATCTTGGGCTTCCGAACCACGCCCCGGCTGAGCAGCAGCTGAGCTCTCCAAACGTCGCCCCCTATGACGGGAACACGGAGCGAGCTCCGAAAGGGATGAAAAGTGCAGCAGCGGCACGAAGCCACACGAAAACCTGATGTAATACGTGTGTGTGTATCTATATATAATATATATATATATATATATGCGATGTGTATACCTCATTGTATACAGTATATGTGTGTGTGATGGCGAACTGACGCCTCTTTCAGTACCTTCTGGTGTGTGTGCAACTTGTTCTATCTACTTTTGGCTGCCTCCAAAGCCCTCCCAGCACTCCACAAACACTTTCCCTAAAAGAAACAGGGTGCAAACACAATAGATAGTAGATGTTTGTAGGAGTTCATTGCCGTGCATTTAAGGTCGCACTTTTCCGGCAAAGTTGTGGCAACCCTGGTTGCACAGGTGAGGTGGTGATGATTATGTGTTATTCCAGCATTAGTTGTCAAGAAAGCTTAAGGAATGCCTCTTGTTGAAATTCTGACCTACTGACCTGTGGGTTCAGCCGGCAATGTATATCTCGGCATTGTGGTTTTAGGGGTTCAAAAAATGGGATGTCAAAGCGCCCAGGTTTTGAGATGTCCTGAGTAAGAAAAATGGTAGGGAACGTGGACGCCCGAGTCCGAGTCGTCACAAACCAACACGTGAAAATTGCCCAAGCTCACAAAGCTGATTTTGGTCATGTTTTTCAACAAAAGTAAGATCAAAAGAACAACTGTTCCCCCCTTTGTTTTGTCGAAATAGGTTCAATGTGTATTGTGTGCTTTTTGCCTCAGCTTTGGGCACTTCAACTCCATGTCCCATGGAATGACCGCCGCGTCCGAGGCACGTTCCAACAAACGGATGACCGCCGCGTTGATGCGTGCAGCCTTCGGCCTCAGTCGGGAGGTCTCTTTTTGTTGGCTCATGGTATTTGTCCTTGTGAATGGGGAAGCGTAATACCTACGTAATCCGATGCGTTCAAGGTTCTGAAGCAACCATCATATGACCACGAAAGTGCCACCACAAGGCTCAAATGGAACCAAGGCCTGGACTTGGTCTGGATATCAAAGAAGTTGATGATGTTGCAGATCTGCACCCTGGCAAGGCGCTATCTGCTATCGGCACGTGGGCCGTGGGCACACCAAATAATCGAAAACAACATATTATGAAGAAGGGAGTGTCCAGGGTTGGTTTGCTCATCAACAGGTTCCATATCACCGTGCACCGAAGGAATTTGGTTCAACTGGGGGCACTAGCCCCTATAAGAGAATGAAGTGAAAAGCCCTGTAGCTGTTCTATCGAACAATCTGTTGCTCAAGCCTGAGGACATCTTGAAGCTTCTCCCCTCACCTCTCAGAAATTCCCAGGGTGAAAGTGCAGAAAGGTCCTTGATGAACCTTATGTTGGGGTGCTTGGAGCCTGTGCCCTACTAGCCAACCTCAAAGAACTTCCTGACCTTTCAGCAACCTGGAACGAACTCTTGGAGTATACAAGCTGAGAGCATCGGAGTCAGACCCTGGACTTCTGGACTGACTCATTCTGCAACTTCTTGCGAAACTAGAACCATCTCAACGGGAACCATATCTGCTGCACGGGAACAACTAATTACAGTGGTTACAGCTAGTTGCACATTGTCTTCGAACCTGCATACAATGGAACAATCTTCTTTTTGTGGGGTGAAAGCACGGGAAACACGCACATTGGTCTTACACAGGAGGTATTGCGTGGGGCTACGCGTGCTTTCTGAGGACCTGGCTGCGTTAGCAACGGGCAATTTGACCACGTTTGCGCGCGCGCGCAGTTGAACGCACCTCACTGTCTGAAAACCTGCTTCTGCCAATCGCTTGGCCTGATAGCAGGACCAAACCAAAACCATGTGGTTGTAGACATTGTGAAAATGTTTCATTTATGTATACCCCTCCTCTTCTCAACAACATGTGTGTTAATGATGTGTGGTTTGGATTATCCCTACGGCTTTATGGCTTTATAAAGGTTGGTAGGGCATTGCCGTTACGGGTTGGTTGGTTGGGTGAAGATGTTTGGAAAAATATACTTGCATTTGAGCATGTATATACACTGGGCAATATGCACGCGTAAAACTGTAAAATATATACCATGTATACCTAAAGTAATATTGTCCATCTATCTATCTATCTATCTAAAATTATATATATCTATATCTATGTATCAATCTTTAATTATCTTTATATAGCTATATATATATATGTAGATGCATAATACTCAAATGATCTAAAATGCTGATTATCAAGCTGGATTCTTGCAGCTGCTGCCTCTGCTTCGGCCGTCACGGCGGAGTAAAACATCTTCTGTTTGGTGTCAACCGTGTAGTAGTACCTCCGTGATTGTCTTCTATTTCCTTGTACCCCAAACCTGGAAATGGTGCCTCGCCAATGACCAATGAAGGCATATAATCCTCATCATAGACAGTGGTTTTGGAGATCGGCATAGATCGGCCACTCTAACGCACAAGCATACGAAAAGGCATTCCCTTGGAAACTCTGGCACGATCTGTCAAAGGTTGCCAAGCCAATCTTCTGCTCAAGCCTTGGTCAGCAAGCAATTCGAACAGGTAGTGCTAGCAATCCACTGCAAACATTCAAATCTCCAACCAAATCAAAAAGATCAGTGCTCCAGAACCAATAATATGATGAATCAGGGTGAACAAGCATATGGCATATGTTTAAGCACCGAGGGGTGGTGTGACCCAACCTCCAGAACGATAACCAACAGGCACACCTTGAACATCACTGTCGTCCTTTCAAGCAAACCGTGCCTCCAAACTCAAATCAAACAGTCACTCTCAACATTTCTCATAGGTTTGGGGGCATGATTGTAGGTTTCTCATGGTTTCTCCATGTTTTTGTAGGTTTCTCATCGTTTTCTCATGTTTTCTCCGTGTTCTTTCTGAAAGAAGGCACCCCAGCCCTGCCGTCCTCCGTTGATCTCTTCCTCGCCCAGGCACCACAGCTTCACCTCTGGTCGTGTGGTCTCCGCCCAGGCGCGACGCAAGGCCTGAAAATCAGGGCGGCGGAAGAATTCGGGCAGGGAACCCGTTTTGAGGTGTCGAAGGGATTGTTTGGGATCTTTGAACTTTGTTATACTGTTTGTTTGTGTGTGTTTTTTTCCTTTTTCGGGGCCAAATCGTTTGAAATCGAATTCGTGGGATTGGGTGGGACACGAATGTGTTTTGGCCTTTCTAAGGTGGTTGGATTGCTAGGGAATCCATCGGGCTGATTCAAATCGGACAAGGAGATGGACGTGTATCTTCTATCTATCAAGAGCCCAATTGTCATGCCATGTCTATCCCTCGCGTCACCCACTGATGAACCCGGACTTTGTTGGAACCCGAACGTGGCCAGCCATGACTCTTTGGTACTTGCTACAGTAAATCCCCAAATCCTTGCCATCTCATGGAGTGAGCAACGGAGATTGATGAGGGTTTTATGTCACTAAACCGCATGCCGGAGCGAACGCCCAGTATCCGAAGGGAACTTTGGAAGTCTGTTATTGACAGTGGAACGCCCTCCCAGTGACAAACATAGGTAGGGCGAGCGAGAGAGGGAGAGAGAGAGAGAGGGAGAGAGAGAGGGAAGGGAGAGAGGGGGGAGAGAGAGGGAGAGAGAGAGAGAGAGAGAGAAAAACAAACATAGCTGTATATGTCCTCAGAAATGCATATGTTATAACATCATATAGACTCTATAATTATGTAGGTTGGTCATGCTCTGGAAGAACACAAAGCCAGTCTCATCACCAATCTTTGGTTGAATGACCCGCAAGAAGTTGAACACTTCTTCAAGCCTGTTGCTGCACCGTTTTGCCAGCAAATGTGACCCAATGACCATCTGGCCAATGCTTTGCATTGGTCAACTGGCTGGTCTCGCACAACACTTCACATACCAGCATCCTAAGCTCCAGTGCATGTCTGCCGGCCGGGCGCTTCTGCGATCGGAGACCAGTTGATCTGTGATTCTTTCAACACGCCTCGGTCGACCTCGGCACCCTGCGATCGTCCGGACTGCGCAGACCTTCCCAGTTTGATTGAGCATCATCTCAGACCCATCCAGTGGATGTGCAGGACACCCGCATCCTCCAAGAACCATCCCAACTTGGAACACCAGGAACATCCTTATGAATGGTTCATGAATGATGCCTGACCTTTGAGGAAAACAGGGTCCTATCAGGGCCGAAAGGTGCCAACACAAAGCGTTGAGATTCTCACATGCAAATGGCATGAGACAGTCAACGCTACCCTGAATCGACCCTATCCAACAAACACAAAGTGGACAAGCCCTGCTAACAGTTACCCTGAAGTGTCATACTCCACTTCCAGTTACCCTGAAACGGGCGTCTCAATCGACACATATCAACACCCCAGGGATCGAAAAACCCTCGACTCCAATGCTCCGACAAACTTTGGAGTAGAAGCTCGGAAGGAGTCGGAAGGAAAACACCATATATATATATATAGGTCAATATACAATATAGATACTACTAGTAATATATACTGTATATGGTTTTTTCAAGCATCTGGGGCTGGGCTAGGTGAAGGGTCAGTACGATTGGATTGCTCTCCCGGTGGGTTCCAAGCTTCCAAGCCTTCATGGAAAGCAAAGCCTTCATGTCTCAGCATGTCCACCGTCTATGGTTGAAACTGCAGGACGAGGAGGGCTTCGGCTCGCGGCTAAAGGTCAGAATGGGCGACATGTTTACCCAAACATCTTGAATCTTGTGATTTGTGGCAAGCACATGCAAAGAAATACTCAGAGATGTGAGTGGGTAGTAGGGATGGCCAATATCCACTCACTGGATGCGTCTTAAACCACCCATTTGGAACTCCTGAGAATCGACATTGGCTCGATGCATCTCTCTGCCGATTCAATTGGTCTTTCGTCCAGCGCGCGCAGGGTTGATTGGCTCTATGGACTTGGGGAGCCATCATCCACACCATAAAACCTGAGCAAATACCTTGCTGAGATACGATGCACACATATGCGAAAAGGAGCTGGTAGACGGATGCAGGAGAAATGGGCTGATTGCAACAGGAGTTGGAGAACAAGTTGGCAACATCGACAAACACAATGTTTTGTTTGTCTGCGTGGGACTGCGTAGCGGCCCAGGTACCTGCTCAAAATGTGGAACTGAGACCCTCCAAACCCACCCCAAACACCTGACACCAGGTACAGTAGTTGGAAAAACTCTCGACCGCCGCTCCTGTGAGCGACGGAAGGTGGACCTTCTTGTGCCTTCCGACATTCATCTGCAGAACATGGGATGCGGCCGTGGTGAAATACAAATCGGTTTCTTTCGAAAGGCAAGCCATGTAACTGATGATGAAAGGCAAGCCGTATTCAAACCATATTCAAACCAATCAAATAGCAATTCATGGTTCTGTCTTTCAAAAGGCAAGCCATATTCAACATGTAACAGTGTAACAGTAACATCCTGTTTTCTTCCGATGCGCAATAACTGCTTGCACATGGGCACACTACCTCGACAGCGCAGAACTGAGTCTCTCGGAGCTCCGCATGACCCAAGTGATCTGCATACCAAAACAACCGAGCGGTGGCCTAAAACCCAAGGTGTTCACTTGTCACTAGCATTGGTTGAATTGTGAGAGCAAAGGAGAAACAGGTTGCAGGATGCTCACTTGAGTCTCTAGAGGACACAGAATCTTCATGGAAATCATGGAATCTTCCAGAAACCCAAATCCACGTATATAAATCCACTGGTTCTGTATCGGCCCTTGTTTGGCATCCGGGCTGATGGCTCCCGTCGGGTGAAACCCACCGGTGCATGTCTCAAGCGGAAAGCCGTACCGGTGCGACCCCTGGCGGGGTGGGGGAGTCTCCAATCGTGTCAGCCTTCTTTCAAGTGTCGTTTTTAAGTAACAAGCTGAACTGACACACAAAAACAGAACCAGGGTTGCAAGCTAATATGCTTTTCGGCCTGGTAATGGCCAGCGAAAAAGAAACCATGAACGACGACAGATTAACAAATGCATGAACTTCCAATCTTTGCTCCAATCATCAATGGGACCACTGAGACTCTGGTTTTGGCCTTAGTCTTCCCAGCGGATCAAGTTTCCCTCCTGGGCTGCTGAAGCAACGTCGGATTTGTTACAAGTCGTGGAGAAAAACACATCGAAATTACCAGAAATACAGGATCCCGCAAACTTGCAAACCTGGGATTAATAAACCTCCCCTAGTCACTCCGAGCCCAAACAGCCCCGATGGCTTGTGCCAGAACCCACCTGATTGGTGCCAGAACCACACAAAGTAGTATACGTTTACAGCAATGGTCGGCCTTGGTTCCTAACCATTATGGTCGGCCTCATACGTCCCATGGCCTTAGATGGTTGGCATATGATTCAGGAGTGAACCTCATGAATACCTCAAAGCTTGTTGACCTTGTAGGGGAGTATTGATCCAGGGTGTGCATGATCTTGGAGTCTCATGTCGTTTTGGCTCCTTCGAAAATTGATTCCAAAGTCGCCTGGGACTGTGGAACCTACCACCTGGACCACGCGACCATGGGCGACCATGGGCTACCATGGGCGACCTGGACCCACAGATGGCAGGTAACAAACAACAGAAGCGGAAATGAAGCTGGATTTATGCTTAGCATGTTCATGTATCTTTGCCACATGCTCCTCCAATTGCACGATGGATGTCACATGGCATTTCTAGGACCTGCAGTCTGCAGCGCAAAACTGGCACACCCCATTGCAGTAGATACGAGCAGCTGCATGAATCCTCGTTAGCAAAACTACAAACTTGTGCAGGAATAAGCTATGATGCAAACAAATGGTTTCCCCGCCTCCGCTATCTAGCCTTTAGTAGATGTTGGGTCTGTTCTCATCACGTGTCGATGCCGAAGAGGTGGTAGACTTGTACGCCACGGCGCCCGAACGTTCGCGTCGCACCGGTGGTCCTCGAAATAGGCATTCTTGCTCCGGTGATTGGACATCGTGCACCTGGTGATTGGACCGCAACAGTCGGAAGCACAATTCCACAGGGTCGCAGGGTCCTCCATGTTTCAACTTCATGCAGGGAGACCCAAAACAAAGCCTGCTTCCAATTGCCCGAGGAGACCTATAACTCCCAAGTTCAAGGAGAAACTGAATTCCACATCTTTTGCAACCGGGCACCCAATATGGCAGGCATATCTGGTCCATGATGTGATTGACATGTTCAGTGAAAGTCTCGGCCAACTCCTGCCCGTGGTCTCTTTCTTTCTTTCTTTCTTTTTTCTCTCTCTCTCTCTCTCTGTGTTTGTTTCAACTCCCCATCAGTAGCTCCAAGATCGGCTCCAGCCTCCCCTTGCCATGCCGCTGTCCATTCTTCCATTCACCGTCGTACTTCCTGGCCACGAAACGACATCGATGCTTGAGAGATCAGGAAGGCGACCTCCTCTGCTCAGCAAAACGGTGGCAATATCAAAGCAACAAAGAATCTCGAAACCAAAACAATTAGGAATGGATACGGCCAAAATTTGCCAGACTCAATTTATACGACCAACACATGGCAACGTAACACACTAATTTGGCAGCTCGAACACTAAATATAGTATAGGCCACAGAATGGAACAGAATGGACATACACAGCCCTTGGACAGAAAAATTACCCGAGGTGGTCACAACGAGTAGATTTAATTCTTACCATTAATTGTTTGCGACCCCGGCCGCGTGAAGACGCCTGCCATCGGGCCAAGTGAAAACGCCTTGACCTGAGCGAACAGTTCAACAAACAAAGGCTCCAGCTCAACAGCGCTACAACGAGTGCTCCAGGACTCCAGGTGTTCCAGCAAGTGCATGTGGACAGCATGTCCCCAAACAAATCGACAAAGTAGACAGCACTGCATGGCAAAAGCTTGGTCCAAATCGTTTCGTGCTCCAACGTTCGTGCAGCTGTACATGAACGGCAGAAGTTCCTGAAGGTCCCATGAAAGCATGTTGGAGAATGGTGGCTTGGCCAAGGAGAACCCTTCATGCTACGGAACCCAAGCCATGCTCT